CCTTGAATTTCTTTGGCGCTTTGTTCGCTGGCCCATTCAAACGCTTGGGCAAACAAACGACGGAGCCAACTGACAGCGAAAGAACTCATGGATCCAGAGATACGGGGTCTCCGGGAATTGGACGTCAGACCACCAGGTGAGTGAGTTATCTGATGGCCGTCAAGTTGGACCGCCTGCCACCCACCAGAAAGCTGGCCACCCGCTGATGTCTGTCCGTTCAGTATTTGCGTTTAAAGTTTTTTTGATTGAATTGTTGCAAATTGTTTGCAAATCTATTTCGTTGGTCCCTCTACCTCTGCCACAACCTCTAACTCTACCTCAACCGATTGAACAATTGCTTTTTGTCTTGTCTGCGGTGCGGGGGCTTTGTGGCCACGCAGATACTCGTATTCAGATATCAGATATAGCCGGCAAGTCAAGTCTCGACTTGACTTGACACTGAGTTATGGTTCTGACAGCTGCGAAAGGCAACGAACGGGCGCAAAAAACTCTGGACCAGCTTTTTGCTTGGCTTTCGAGTTTCCGAATTTCAGTTTCTTTCAAGGGGCGCTTTGTTAATCCTATTATCCAACCGAAGCGCAACTTCAGCAACAGATAAAGTAATTACCCCAGCAGCCCCGAAAAAAATGCCAAACAAAAAAAGAAAAGGGCAACGCCGGGCAACTGTTTCGCTAAGCTTGGCAAAAAGGTAAAACATTCGAGGCCTTTTTAGGTTCCACCTTTTGCCTCTTATTAATTACGTCGTTTAATACGTTTGAAGTAGGAGTATTGTGAATTTTGGATTTCGCTTAGGCTTTCTCTGCAGAGAAAAAAATAGATGCTAGTGAGTTAAATTGATATGAATTTTGAAAAAAAAGGCTTAAAGAATCCATCTTCGTTTAAAGAGGGACCAAATTTAATATAATTTACTATACATTTATTTATATTATATCCGTTTTTAGCTTTGTAAGCTTCTAAGATAATATAATATTCATTCACAAATAATCCACATTTTTTTGAGTGCCCTAAAACTAGAATCATAATCCATTGTTACGAAGTATCTTTACTGTTATTAAACATTTGCCATTCCGACATCATGGGTCAAATCAATGGTCTGGCCTTGGAGAATGGCCCAAATTACCGTCTATAACTGCTAGCCTGGCTAACATTAAATTTAAGCACACACAAAAGATACTGGGATAGCCAGATGCACGGCATACAGGTGTGGGTGCTGAAATCTAGATGCCGGCATTTATTTAGCCATTAAACACGCTTCATGGGCTTTGCTTATTTTCATTTTCATTATCAATTTGAGCGTGGTTCGTCGTCCGGTTTTTCGAATGACGGCGGGGTACTGTAAAAAAGCTTTTAACTTAATTATGTTGGCCATAAACTGCAGGTTTATTTCGGCCAGCAATGACGCGAGCTGCGAGTTGCGAGCAGCGGGCTCTAATTAAATGTCGCTCGGGGGCCGGTCAACTTTTCTGGCTCCAGCATTTTATACTACTATACCCGGTATACCTGTGTGTGTATATGGCAATTTCGAATAGCACTGGCATGAAGTGTTTGCTCGTGAAGCACTCGAACTAACCATTTTCCATTTCGGCCTGTCATTGTGGCCAGTGTGAAGTGAAGTGTGTGTGTTGTGGCGCGGAATGATTTACATAAATTCTCCAATGGCACCCTGTATTGACAGAATCAAGCGCTGGACAAACAATGCCCACACACTCCGCTTCGAAACCGCTTTGACCGTTAAGAAATATATAATTATATAACCTTATCCAGCAATAACAAGTTTATGCCATTTTGGCCGCCCCAAGTGCCAAGAAGTGCCGATCTGCTTGGGAGCACTCGAAACTCGAAAAGCGGCCGAGAAAACTGCGCCCCGGCAGTTGGCAGTTCGAGCAAATGTCATTAGCATGGTAAGCGTGATAAATGGCCCACAACTCGCAGAATTGGTCTATATACTAAATGCTCACGTAGAGTTCCCAGTCTGGGCATAAAGTCATCACAATCATTTGTCACAGTTTTGCCAGCTTTTAAGTGACTGGGCTCCAGGGTTTCTGCTCCAGAGGCCTTGTCTCGATTTCGGCGGTTTCAACTCCATTTTTCAGACTTTTGTCTCGGCAACTTTAAGATCTCTTGCTATTTGTGTCAAGCTTAACTAGGAGGTTTTGTGGGAATGGTTGAAACACCAGGAATTTTGACTTTAATAGATCTTTAATTTGAAATTCTGATAGTTCGGCCACAAATCCTCAAGTCCAAATCCTAATAATGAAGGCATTTATTTCTGAAAATTTATGTGAAGGAAAAAATGAAGTCTCAATTTATTTATTTCCTTTTTCTATTGATTGTTTTGAATTTTATAGGTTTTGGCTTTAAATAATTTTTAATTAATAATTAATTTAAATCAAATAACCATCTACACATTTTTGTACATGGCCACAGAAAAAGATAGCAATTTATAAATCCCTCTATGATTTAGCAACATTTGTGGCTTTTTATTTCCGACTGTTTCTGTATGAATTGTTTGCTTTGTGCTTGTCGACTTAAACTTAATCCCCAAGATAACGCATTCCAAATAATCGCTCACACGCAACGTTTGGCGCAGCTCTTGTCGTGGCCATGAAATATCGATTACGCAACTGCAGAGGAGTGATGTAGACATATATGTTGCAGCATTGACGACTGGACGCAAAATGAAATGCAAAACAAGTCAAGCGCAGTGTCTACCCTTCATCTCCCTACATAATACTGTCTACCTACACAGAAAGAACAGCTTAATATTATTGGAATATTCACAAGTCAAAACTATAACAGTATCATGTTATATCATTTTGATGTGTAAATAAACTAATATAGTCTGACCTGACCGGTTTCAAAAAATCAAGTGTCAATAAAGTATACATTTAAAAATAGTGCCATCTATTTGATATTTTCTTTAATAATCCAATATTTTATGTAGTTGTGTTAATTTTTCTTTCTGTGTACTTGAATTTACTCCCCTTGCTCCGAGTTTTTACGTTAATGGCGGACTGCAGCCGTTTTGGAGGATTTAAGTGCGTGCGCTTAGTGCCATCGGCAGCCGTCAGAATCAACACGGCCAAAACTTCAACGACAACTTGCCCATGGCAATTTGACAGACAGTCTGCTGAGCGAGTTCCCCTCTTTCGTCTTTTATCGTGTAAATAAAATTACGTTTTGAGGCTGGCGGCCACACGCATTTTTTCCGCTGCCATTTTTGCATATCAGGCTGGGGCCATCGTCATCGACGCAGCGCGGCTCTTTGAGTTTTCATTCATGGCTGGGCTTTCGACGTTGTTTGTCGTGGCTTTTTTCTGGGTTTTCGGAATTTGTCAGCGGCGGCGGCGAGTCTTTTATCAATCATGTGGTGACCGAGGTGACTGAGTCGCCCCGTTCCGCCAATAATGACAAGCGATAAGTTGTGTGTGCCAGCCATGAAGCATGTACTTGCACTGGCCAGTTTTTAAACTCATTAATGTCGACCCCGCGGGGCAGAAACACAGCCACAGTCACTTGGCCGTTGTCAAACTGTTGCCACGCCCCCTAATGCCACAGCCCCCGGGTCATCAAGCTGAGATCTTGTAAAATTATTATAAATCTCCCCTGATGAGCTGTGATTATTAGCGTTTTACGTGCTCCAATTTCTACACATGCAACACACGCCACAAGATTCTTGTGTCATTAGTCAGTTCCCGGAATGGCAAAACTAGTCTGTCGTCTTTGAGTTGAGTTTAAGTTCCCCGATTCCCGATTCCATACCGCCGGTCGATCAATCAGTAACCGCTTCACTCGTCGCCCGTGGGCGATTCACGCTCAACTGGTCCAATTACCCTGCACACACTTGCATGCCCAACTTATATAAACTATAAATATATAAGGTCCAACTTGACGGCATTTGCATAATTAACTGGCGGCCCTTTAAGTCGCTGCTAATTATGTCGCAGACCTCACAGGCACAATGCATCGGAGATGACAAGAGTTTGCATTGAATATGAACGGGTAAAATGTTGCAGTTGAATCTTATCTCGATTGAACATCGATCGACGAATTATTAATGAGGGACAACCTTAAAAAGAAGGTATTTTTGAACTGAGTTAAATTGTAGTATAGATAAGGTTCAATATCAGAATATTATTTACAATAGATTTTACTTTTCTTTGCCATTTATTTATTGGTCATTCAATTGTACCTCCATCAACTCAATACTATTCTGAAGTATTCAACATAATTCTATTTTTCTTACCCTAGTAGGGCAAATTAAATTTTCTTTTAGTTTTCAGGGTAATAAGTGCTCAGAAAATGTCTTATGTATGTAATTTATCCACAATTGATGTCAGCTTGATGTCATCGAGCTATTTTATTGCTTTTTGATGAACATTTCTCCACAAATCATTCATAACTGATTTATGCCCCTCGATTTCATTCTTGGAATCGGAATATTTTTCAATTAAAAGCCAGAGAGGCAAATACAAATATGCTGGCTGGGAATTTTCCTGCACATGTGGGGTTTTTATTATTGGGACAAGATTTTGCAAAGGTTTGCTGAAATCAAAGAGCAGAAAACCAGGCCATCCCACGTGGAGAAGAATCACAACAATTTATTTCATTTGCCCGCACAGTGGATGGCAACTATGAGATGGCATGCCAAATCAGCACAATTTTTCCCAGCCAAGATGAATGGAGACAAAGGGATACACACGACAGCCGGCGACCCATTTAATTTGGCAAACGTGAGCAGTTTTAAGCCAAGAGACGAGATGGAAAGGCGGTGAAAAACAGCAGACATCTGTGGGCTATAGACGTGTGAATGATGACACTTTGCATGTTTGCCAAGTCACAAGGCCCTGCACTAAATATTGATGAGGATGGTGGATGGTGGGTGGTTGGCACCCCAAAAAACTCCGAGGCACGTGCAAAGTATGCAATGATGATGACGATATAGGGGTGAAAGCGAAAGAGTTGGCCATGTTTACTTAGGGAGCTGTGGTCTGACTTACCTTGATCTCGTGTATAAACTCGGTTTCATCCAGCAAATTAATGCGCACGGACATAATCCGTGACGGGCGACAAAGGCAGTTCATGTTTGTTTTAGCCTTGAGTTTTGTCCCCTTGACAAGATTAAGTATACGCCGCGTTGCCACCTAGACTGTTGGACATTTTCTGCAATGGATAAAAGATAGAAAGTGGCAATTAATATCGCGCAGTTAATTAGCTAGCAATAAGTGGGAATGCAACTGCAAACTGGTTTGCCTTTGTATGTAAGTAAAAATCTCTGGCATTTGAGCCAAAGTAAAGCCCCTACTAGGCCTTGTTTTAATAACTCTTTTGGCTTCGGGGTCGTTTATCTGGCAAGCAGATCAGCAACATTAACATCATCATCAGCAATGACAGTCCAACTGTCAGCGGTTGCCGCTCCCTAGTCGAGCATTATCATTATAATTTTATAATTGCGGTTGTTTGCCAGCGATAAGTTAAATATGCATGAAGTGAAAGAAGCAGAGAAGAATCACCTACGGCATACCCAACAACAGTACCACACCAACAAAGTCACTTAAGCGGATTAGTTAAAGGGCTCTGAGACAGTGTGTGTGTGTTGGCCAAAAGCAGATTATGTCATTAGAGCCATAGTGCGATGTGATGAGAGGGGAGGAAGCGCCGGGCTTTAGGTTGCCATCAGCCATCATCAGCCATCGGCTTAAAGCCATCATCATGACTAAATTCCCGGTACAGTGGAACCTGATTCAGTGGAGAATCAGAACCCCCGCCAGAAGAAAAGCGGCTGATAAAGTTCGACATCTAAGCACACTTAAGTATGATGGACAACTGCATGTGACGCCCCCGTAAAGCAATGACTAACAAGTTAAGATTGTGAGTTCTGTACAAAAAAAAAACCCTTAACTAAAGACTAACATTTCAATCGTGTTGAGCCCATCAAATTAGTTTGAGCCCCAAACAAATTAAGCCACGGCAGTGTCTGCTGTATATTCCACATATTCCGCTGATATCTCTCGGCAACTTCACACAACATGCCGACAGTCGGAGAAAGAAAAAGAGTACGCCTTTTGTAGCGGCTGCAACTACAAAATAATTAATGTGCACTCGCATAATGAAAGGCAGCGAGCGCGCCGGCAAAGGAGCAGCTGAAAAACATGCCAACTTTTCACACATTTCACATGGCCAGACCTCAAGTCTGTTGTTTTCCATATACAGACAGAAAAAGAGTTTCATAAAAATAAATTTAATATCAAAATCCAAAATGTACTTCTCTATTATGTCCAAAACTCCCTTAAATCACAAGTGTCAATAAAAAGACGAAACAGTCTGAAAAAGTTTCAGATGTGTATCAACATAAATGTTCTAAAATCCTATGAAGATTTTACAATACCTACTGGATCAATAAATGTATGTTTCAATTAAAAAGTCTTTAATATTTTATAATTAAATTGATCGGTAACAGGGTTTTGACTTTTTTGACATATCAAAATGATATGTCTATATGCAAAACTATCTACAATTTGTGTTTCTGTGTAGGATTGCTAAGCGCAGATAGTGGTTGCTGCTTTTTGTGCTCCGGCTGATATTAGACGCTAGTGGATGGCACATTTCGCATTGCATGGCGCTCATTACACTAATGAAATATTATGCCTAATTAATGGAAAGTCGGCTGCCAAGTTGACTGACATCTGTCATACATCTGTCTTTAACTTGGTCACTCTGTCAACGCCGCAGCAGCATGAACATTCAGCAGCAACATCAATTAAAATGCATATATTCCTCTGAATCTGAGTCTGAATGACAGCGACTATGAATGGAGAATGGAGAATGCACTGCATGTAATTTTAATTGCAGCCAAACGCATGCAACAACGCAAGTTCATTCAACTTAACCACCACTTCTTCGTTGCACCATCCATCACCACCCACAATAGGCCGCTCCTTAACGCACAGCGGAAATTACAATTTAAATTTATGTGCCGCACTTTTACGATGGCATTTTCCACATTTTCCTTAAATTTAATGCTCATCTCGTTTAGCTCCTGTCTAGAAATTATGTACATTTAAATGGAAAGCAATTTGTAAGGTCATAAACTGATTCATTGCCATGTTCGGTTTCTAGGAAACGACACAGTGGAATTTTTCGCATATAAACTCCTGCTGAATATGTACCTTGAAAATGGATTCTAAATGCTTTAAGTTGTAATAGACATTTTAGTATTGTTAACTAATTCTAGAGTCACCATGTTTGGTCTCTGGAAATTGTACAAATATCGACTCCTGGTGGATTTTTTTTTTTCCTAAACAGTAAGTATAACTGTTATATATATATATAAAGAATTTTTTGGCAGAACTTTACCTACTAAGCTAAACTGTTAACATTAATATTTAAAGGCGGGCCTAAAAGATTTCTAACTACCTTAAGATTTTTTTAAATTTTCTCATTTTTTTCAGTTAAAAGTATTATTAAATAAACATTTTTTAATTCATTTTTACATATTACATATTAATTAGGAATATTTTATTTTCTGCTCAAAAAAGTTTTAAACAAAACATTTTTCAATATATTTTACGAAATACGTATTAATTAAGAAACGATAAAATGCAATTTTCCGTTCTGTTAAAAGTATCTTTAGGCCAAAAACCGCAATCTTCTTTCTGTTTTGTTATACCACATACTTCCCACTTTACTTCGCTTAACCCAAAAACCTTTCACATCTTAGGAATCGCTTAAAAGTTAAATCAAAAATGTTCAACAAACTCCATAACTTAGGCCAACTTAACCGCAAGACCATTTGCGAAATAGGTCCCAAAAATCCTGCTTCTACACCATATGATAAACATGCCATTGATCGATTTTTGAGCAGGGCTTTCCCGTTTTCCCCGTCTTTTTCCTTCGTGCCATTTCACATGACACTGGGGAAATTTATCGCCCGGCATATTTATAGCGTCATATCTTTATGCCCAAGCCTGTGTTTACAGGACATCATCAACATCAGCATCGTTTCTTGAGCCAGCAACACCCTCATAATTTCTTTTCGCATCAAATTTATCACAGCAGTGGGCGGTGGGCGTGACTTTTGGCCAAAGCCTCCCCCCCACCGGAAAAAACGTGGCTTGATTTGTGATAAAGTGCGTGTGGCATTTGGCAAAAACCGACCTTCCTTTTGCCTATTTATCAGACCAAAACTTTGCTTTCAATTTGCGGGGGGAGTTTACTACTTTCTTTCCCGTTGCTGGTTCTTTATTTTTCCTTTGCCGTTTTTTTTCTGGTATATTAATAAAATTTTTCCCCTAAACCCTACTCCTCACATCATCATAAAGCTTGGTTCCTACTTGCATTCATTTTCTTCTTTTCTTAGCTTGATGGACGGACGGGCGTATCAATAACTGAAAATGTCTCAAACAGCATTTTGTCATATTTCAATGGATCATAGGAGCCTTCATCCCCGATTTTCCCTCTTTTTGCCATTTTATGTTTGCGGAAGTAACACCCCAGCCAAGGCAAACAAACTTTCAGCACATATACTACATCTGGTTGGTTGGGGAAAAAGAGTGGGGTTTTTCGTCTGCTAAACGAAATTATTTATTACTTGCTGTGTGCGTAGAAGCTGCTGGTAATGATGATGAAAAACGTGAAAGCATCGAAGAGTGCAAATGGCAAAAAGGTGAGAACCAGTGGGTAGGGATTCGGATTTGGAAGGATTGCTTTTGCTTTTGCCCAACCTCAGACATGGACATGAACCTGAACCAGTGCCAGACTTTCAGACTTTAATGATGATTAAATGCGCGCCGGTTTCGGTCATTAGAGGAATATACATATACTGACTGCATTGAGGGCCCTGCTCTCAGGCACTGATTTCCTACTCTTTTTTTTAGTTGGCTGATTTGACTACGAAATGGAGGAGCTTATTGGTTTCGGGCGCGGTGGGCAGTGAGATGTAAATAACCCTCAAATGAGCTGGAAAATTGAAGCCAAGGGCAAAGGCATTTATTTTTCCTAGACTGCAAATGACTAAGAGTTAATGGAAGGTGGGCCATGCCATGCCATGACTTCAGGGAAATTCCAAGCTGACAGATTGTAAAAGGGTTCTCCGGAGATGCGTATATCTCGAGTCTCCCACAATGACATAATCCCGTCTAGATTTAGTTGGAAAAATATTCCCCATTCGAAGGCACTCGAATCTCCTCTTTAGATATGCGTGCGCAAAATTACTTAATATTTGTTCGCCAGCTTGTCTCGTCTCGTTTTCTGACTCGGGCGCTAATTTCCAAGAATTTTCTAGCCCAGCTCATTCCTTCGGTGCAATATGCATGCCCAGATGTGCACTGGGAAAAATGTTAAAACTAGTTTTTGACGTGATTGCCTTGCCTTGAATAATATATTTATTTATTAAAAGTTACTTTTAGTTGTTTTAGAAACATGAATTGTTTTCAATATTAACTAATTCTATGGTGGTTTTTAACTGGATTTTTGAACTAGGAGTATTCTGAGATCATTTTTAGAAACACGCTTTTGTTATGTTAAAAAAAATGTATATGAACTTCAACTATATGGACGAAATTTTTCCTTGTGCATACAGCCAAAGCCACAAACTGGGCAAAAGCAAGTTGGCAATCCGCAGGCGGGCATAAATTTTACAGCCACCACACACACAATTGCCTCATAACATATGGTCCTTAGAGTGGGATAGGAATTAGGGGGTGGCAAGGGGTAGTTGGGCGTGGGCCTTGGAATACCTTGAGGCATTTGCAGCAATTAACACGGTCGACGGCGTGTCTTGGCGCCCACTTTCGACGGGGGCCACAATCAGAGTCAAAGCCAGATTCACAGCCTGCGAGTTTCTTTTTCTCACTTGTATATTGGGCACGTAATGAGCCGGTGGTGGAACCCAATGGATGATTGTCCACCAAGACAGCCAGTCAGGCTCTAATTGCATTGACGCTTGTGCCCCGGAATGACATTCCTCATTTCCCATACCTTAACTTTACTCCACTCCTCGGACTCCTGACTGATTGAGTTGTAGTTAATTATGTCTCGCTGACATTTCGATGATTTTAATGATTTGTAGCGGTTTGCGGGCAAATATTACGCTGCATTCCTGCCCCCACTAAAGTCACGACAGTCCCGCGTTAATTTTTTTCCGCTCCTAGACTTTGAGTCCT